TAGCATTAATATAGAAACATTTTGATTGGCTATTGGAAGTGTGGCACAGTCACATGACCTCACATGACCTCAGGTGACACAAGATTATACAAAAGAATACTTTAGGATACACAAAGGTGTTATACAAGAAAGTAACACAAGTTCACCTTCTTCCCCCACACGAACACCTTCTTTCCCTGCACGAACACCTTCTTCCCCTGCACAAGTCCTAAATGTTTTAAACACAAAATACTGTGTAGCAAAGTTCTCTAATTCCACCACACGAGATGTAAATAAATATAAACATGATGAATAATGTTTATATGTTCTTTACTTCACCCAGCATAATTACCTTCTTCACCCAACACAATCCCCTACTTCTCTCACACAAGTTCCCCTTCTTCCCCTGTCAAGTGTTACTCATTTACTGTGCATTGTGTATCCTCTCTATAGGTAAAAAGATATATAAAGGGTGCCTTTTCCCCTCTCTGTCAATTCTATAAGTTTCTATACTTCACCTAGACTTTGTTCTTTTTATACCCTTCTTGTAAATATGATATTCCCCCTCTAGGGTAATTCCTACAGACAAGGTTTATCTGTGTTCTTGCATGAAATAAAGTTATTCTATATACTGTTACTATCTCGAACCGTTTGCCTTCTGCTGTGTAGTTAAGTGAACAACTACACATCCACCCTGTGTATATTTGCAAAAGTCAATCACTGCACTGGGTGACCTTGTTACTTAGTTGTATTTTACTAAGAAGACTACAACCCTGTAACATTTTGGTGCTTCCTGGCGGAAAGCAAAAATTCTTGATGGAAAGCAAAGCAAAAACTCTGGCAAAATAATAATCCCTGGTGGAAACTATTTTATTCTATTGTAAATTTATTAGAATAATTATTTTTAGTCATATTTTATCCCTTCTCTCCTTTTTTTCTTTGTTCTTTCTTATCCTCTTTATCTTCTCTTAAAATTTTACTTTTTCATTAATTAGCTTTAGTTTTTCTTTAATAACTCTACGAATATTGACACTATTTTAAACATCTCACCTTCTTTATATTTTTGAAAACATTCTTTATCTTTTGGTATATAGGTTGCTTAATACCAAAATGCTTCCTTGTCTCTCTAAAAATTGTCAAAGTTTTCACTCCCTTTTCTTTACTATAAATTTCTTTAAAATTTTGTCTTTATGAATATCATTACACAAACTTTGACCCTTAATATCTCACCATCCACTTGACCATTTTGAATATTCTCACCTTCTTTAGATTTGTAGAGAGTCCTCCTACATTTTCTTTCTAAGTTAAAAACCCTCTTAGCATAGTACCAACACCATTAATTTTTGATTTTTCTATTTTGTTTAAATTTTTACTTCCCTTTATTTTTCTTTCCCCAAGTTTATTTTCTTTTCCCCTTTTAAGATCTTATATACAACTTGATATTATTATTTTCTCTTTTACCATAGTATTCTTCTTTAGAAATAATGTACCAAAAGGTTATTACTTTTGAAAAAAGAGACAACAAAAAAGACTTTTAAAACAAAAACAAAAAGGCCAACAGCAAAGACAACAATTCTTACAACAATGCCAGGAGATGATAAATATTATTTTTATTTTTGTAACAGAAGCTCAAGACTCTGCCTATCAACAACCTTTCCTAAAACTAGGGACCTCTATCATTCAACTTTCTA